GCAGAATACTTTTCTTGTATAAAAGAATGAATGGGTATCAGGTCAGGTATTGTAATGTACATAGAAATTTTCCTCTCTGTTATCATAGTGGTGTTTGAGATTCCTACAAGAAAAGTGACCAAAGCTAACCACAGGACACAAACTGGTCACAAATATTGACCGTACATCAAACACCACCAACACATCCATTTTGCCAAATAACCAAAAAAGGCTTCCCACAGTTGGAGAATCTTCTTTAGAAAGTAAAGCCTGTGTACAGTCATTCAAATTTACTTTAACTGGAGTTATTTTCTTAAGTGAGAAAAATGTAACTTGACATTTTCAACTCTTCCCCACCACGCACAACCACACCCATGAAAAACACAGATACAAATGATTCTGTTGTTTGTACAAATGAAGATACAAATAGTAGCGTCTCTGCACACCCTTAATCTCTCACTTTGCACAGACTCGTCTTTGAATTCTGAGGCACTGTCAGGGCCTCATGTTAGATGAAATAAGAGACGATTACACAAGTTGTGTTTTCAAAAGGTTACAGTACATGCTTTCTGGAAAATAGGTTATGAATACAGGGAATTTATAAAGCTGACAACAATGCTGCTTTGATGTGTCTATCAAGTCTTGGTTCACTTTGTATGTGAATAAGATTGATTTTGCTGGGTAAATATCCAAGTCCCACACGACTACATGGCTCTCACTCTGCTCCTGTAGTCCTTTCCACCACTTAGTCACTATGTTTCTATATAAACAACACTTATATCAAATATCAACAGGCCAAGGGTGCCCCATCACCTCTTTGATGAAACTCATGAAGCGGCCTCCAAATCTCCAGGGTTTGTGGCGGTGGCACTGCAGTGAGTTTACGGTCATCTGAGGAGCGTGCTGGTATGAGACGGAAACAATGTGGACTGCATCATAGGTCAGAGCTGCATCTGTCTGGAATAAGGGGTGAACATTGTTTCAGCTAAAGACTCTACAAAGACAAACAGTTGAGTCACCGTTAGTCTTACTACTAATTATTATTATTTTTACATCAATTATACACTAACTAATAATTCAACCTTTAACCTTTTTTAAAAAAATATACTATGTATCAAGGTACAACGTCCCAATAACTAAACTGAACAAGAGTGATGAATACATCTCAAAGGATAATTGGTTCAAAAGGGCCTTATCATATACACATAATTTTGGATAGCCATGTGTAAGATGTTCTTCTTTGTCTTTTTTTCAGTCATTGCTGGAGCCTAACAGTAAAGCACAAGACCAAAATAAAGAGCTTACTGCAGAGATAATTCCTGAGGTAAAGAGTAATTTCGTACCGAACCACACAAGATTAAAAATTTTTAAGACTGACTTCAAAAGTATATACCACATACCGTCATGATGCCCTCCAGCAGGCCTGAATCGGGTTTAGGTGGTATCTGCTTTTCCATTGACCATTTCTCTGCAATGGAAGCAACTTGAGGGTTTTCCACATTGAGGATGCGGAAACCAGTCATGTTGACGCCACAGAAGCGATAGGGCTCAAGGTCGATGGCCATCAGGTCCTTTTGAGAGACAGAAGTAATGAAGAGTGGATTCTTAATTAGTACCACTGAGCGTCTTTAAGTATTTATTCAATCCCACACATAAAGATAATGTCACAGCAGCCAATTAAAGCGATAACTTTATTGAGGTGAAATAAAGTAGGATTTAAGTATGGCATGGAAAGTGGTATTTGTATCACAAGGCAAACCTCAAAAGACCTAAATAGCTTTTGTTGCTGGATAATCCTTTTAAAACTAGCCTGTTAACTGTTTTTGTTTGTTTGTTTTGTTGCTTTAGTTCCTACAAAATGATGAACCAAGTGCACAAGCTAAAAGCTCAGGATGTATTTTGCTTTTTTATGTGAATAGATCTCTATAGGTACTTTTGTAATTTGGCAAGACTCTAATTATTGCTTGTGGCTCAGAAAGAATTAAAGAACAAGGGAAGGAAAAAAAAATGAATATTAATAATTCAACACTTGCATTCCCTTGGTACCTTATAAGCAAAAAGCAATTCAATTTGAGCCACTGCAATTTCTGGGGAAGCCATTGTAGCTGAAGTGTGAAGTCACATGTTGACACATGTCGTGTCAGAATGGGCCAGAGGGCTTGGAAAAGACATTTGGATGAACATAGATATTTCATTAGCACCCTGTGGGGTTAGTGCTGGGAGAACAGGAGCGTGTAAGACACTTACTAAAGAACGGTCGTTGCTCTGAATCACTGAAATATTTCTCATCTTTTTTCCCCCTTCCCACTAGAAAGCAGTACGGAGCTTTTTTTATGAAAAGAAAAGAAAACCACTATTGTTCCAAATGACATTAAGAAATTATCAATAAAGTACAGCAGATCAGGTTTAAGGTTTTTTAGCTTTGAATCTATGTTTCCAAAAATACTGGGATAGAAAATTTAGTATATTATAGTACGTCTTTATTTTTAACAACAACAACAAACGCTGAGATTTTATTGTTGCCCTCATTTTGATTTTGCTACAAGCACACAGTGCAATGATTTACACATCACTGCATTTTTGGAAAAAGGGGTTGCTTTAGCTCCTTTGCAATGCCAGAAAAGCAATCTGTTTCAATTACAAGTCTAAATTTTGCACTGCTGCCTTCCACGCACACATATGCAATGCAAACTTTGTGTAACCCTACAATTATCTCTTTACCAGAAAACCCCAATGTATATCTATATACACACAGAAGTGTTGTACAGGTACCAAACATAACAAAGTTCTTGTCTTTAGGTTCTCAGAGATAGCTATGGCAATGCGGGAGCTATGACAGACTCATTTCAAAGGACAAAGAAGTTATTACCCGATACCACTCTGCTGTTACCTTTTCATGCTCTAATAAGTCGGCATTTCCCTCACCTCAGAAGATAAAACACAGACATCAGTGAATTCCATCGAGAGGAAATTGTATTGCCATGTACACTATGCAAGTATTCATCATTTTGGATCAAATCAAGCCGCAAGGTATAATCTTCTTAATGGGGTGTCTGTCAATATGACAGTATATTGCAGCTTTAGATAGATATCGCACTCTGATTCTATAAAGATATAGTGCCTTTCTGTGAAAAATATTGTTGATGCAAAAAATCATATCAAATAAAAGTTTTTCAGTTAATCCTCAAGTAAATATCTTGCTAGAGAACAAGCCAGGAAACTGCTACACATACACACACAGACTAGTGCACCGGCGATGAAAAGACATTTTGCATTCCCTATTAAACCAACCAGTTTGCTATACAAACATGGCACATAGCAGAACAATGTCATTGACACGCTATTGAGCATGAACGATGACACACATCACGCCTGGACCGCGATGTCATATTGCATTATCACAACAGACTGGTCAAGTCCGGAGAGACGGAGTGCACAAGGGAGGCAGAAACAAAGACAATAACAGGGAATGAAAGGAACAACACCGAACACGCTGGTATTCATTCTCATTCAGTCACCACATAGTCAGGGTTGCAGTAGGGTGCAGCAATGGTACCCTGCTGGGTCTGCTAGTATTAGTCAGATGAGATCATTTCATCAGAGCGGGAGCTAAAAATACTCATGATGGGAGGGAAACGGTTACATACTCAAAAGCTGTTAAACATATCTAAATGATCAACCTAAATTCTTTCAGTCAGTCATTCATTGTTTCTTCGTGCAGCGATTTTTTTTGCTTCTTGAGTTCTTGAATATAAATGATATAGACTATCACCTGGCTGACTGCATAAACTGCAAGTACATAAGAGGATATACATGTGTGTGTTTAATATATACAATGATTGTACCAACTTGAAAGTCACATTCAGCTTTAAATCTCAATCTGCTGGGTTTGGTTTTTTTTTTTGTTTGTTTGTCTTTTTTTGTTTTCCTTTTTTCTCCCCATGCTGCTACCTCAAAGACTTCTGTTGACTTTACTATAAAGCGAAGTGTTTACTACAGCAAACAGAAGACTCCATTATGCCTTCGGCTTGTCAAACAAAATTGATGTTATGGACTGGATCCAAACTCCATTGGCAATTAGCCACTATTCATCAAAAACTCAAGTGGTGGGAAGATGAGAACAAACGAGACTCTATTTGCATTAACAAGCGTGGTACATTACCAGAGTGGTGAAGATATAGTGGTAATACTCTGTCATCATCCCCATGGTCTGGGCCTGAAAGGATATGAAGACAGAAGATGGAAAAGAAAGGTGTGAATGAGTAGAGACGGGACAGAGAAGACTGTAATTGTGTCGTGTCAGGGCATTTTAGAATCAACGGCATTGTCAGAATAAACAATGCTAAAGAAATGCACGAAAAGAGGCTTTAGCGAGCATGTTGACCAACATGCTGTTCATTTTGCAGGTGAGATTCTGCTGCCGTTTGCTGGGATTTCTGCACCATATGTGGTCCACAGAATTACAGAATGGCTTGATGCTTTTCTATGCATTTGGAATGCCTTGAGGCATGTGACGTTATCCCAGCAGACAAGAGAGCTTTCAATCAAAAGAGCTCGGTAATCTTTGCCTCATATCTGAACACTCCATCATTGCCACTTGTTTCACTCCATCTACATTCAAAGGCACTACATTCCCATGGTGGCTGTGTTTTCCATTTAATTGTACCATCTGTTGTTTAACAAAAAACAAAAACAGCCAAGGTTATGTAAATAAGATGTTATGCTCATGTGGTAGCAAATTTATTTCTGCATCTATAGACAGCCAAACACATGACATTGAAATTTTATTTTATTTTTTATAGTGTAAGAAGGAGTTTTCATTAATAACTGCAATTTTCCCGATGCTGCGTAACTCTGTCAGCCTTCTATTTTAATCTTTATTTTGGTAATCGTCTATTATATATGCCTGCCCAGTCTGACGAGTGTGACGACAGGACAACTTGTAAATCTGAGAATGCTGCAAGAAAGACAGGACTTAGTGTTTTGTTATGACAAAAGAAATGATTCCAATAAAGCATGTCAGAGGTAAGTGTAAAGCTTAGTAAAATTCAGTCGCATCATCCAGATTGCAATGATGAATGGCCTGATGCAAGTCTCATTACAAATGAATTCAATGCTTTTCATTTTTACTCATTATCTTAGTCTGGAGCAACCTTTTTGTAAACGTATAAATGGACCAGTCTGCCTTAATCGCAGCTGATAAATACAGTGAATGCTGCCAACTAATCAAAGCACAGATGGTATCCATTCAAATTTTTGCATTTCAGGTTTTAAGTGACAATCACACCGCATTCTATTTAAAAATTGTTCCGTGCATTACAAATAAATAAGATTTACCAAACTGACAGTATGTACAGCTGACTTTATCGAAGGTAAAATGGTTAGCCAGTCAGTCAACATATGAAAGAGGGAAAAAAAAAAGATCAGCTGATCATTTTAGTAATTTCTCAAGTAAAAATGTCTTAAATTATATCTCACCGGTGTTGTTTTGTTCTCTTTGTTTTCTTTGATGTGACAAGCAATTTGAATATATCACCGATGTCTCGAGACACTTACGATGAGCAATTATTCGCTATTTTCTGATATTTTAAAGGCCCAACTATTAATTAAAGAAAAAATATCAGACATGTAATTGATACTGAACATAATGCTTGGATGAATACCTGGGATTGACAGTTAATATGATGCACTTGTGTCTAATGCACTTTTCGTAAAGTAAATTCTCACAAACAATTTATTGTAGAATGTATCACAGCAAAGTACAATAACGTTTTATATGTAAGGTCACAGTACTATACAGTACAGCACACACTTTGACAGATGCACCTTTAAGGAGCTTTTTTAATTGATCCATGGCACATAAAAGGCAGTCAGCAATGAATGTAGTTTGCCCTTATTTCTATGTAAAAGCTCTGGCCGGCTCAGTCATGGAAGACAACTGTCTGGAGCTGTCTTTTTGCCTTATAGCGTTCTCACCACTTCTCTCAAGAGGACACTGGTTTCTTAGCGCGAGATGTGTAGACTGGCCAAGAGCGAATATATGTCACCTTAGATCTCAATAACTGGGGTGGACTGAGTTATTCAAATAACTTTTGAGGAGATGATGCATTTGGCAAAATGTTAACAGAAGCTGACAGCAAACTGAATGAGGGGTGGGGGTGGAGGGATCCACCAGCCTGTTCCTGACATCCAAAGAGCATCAGACCACCTACATATTCTCTGCTCCATACATCATAGTGACAGCTCTTTGTTGACTGGCAATCATTAGAATCAAAACACACTATATACACTTTTGATAATAAAACTTCTCAGATCACATTTTTTTTGTCTGAGTAGTTAAAAGTTTAGCAAACAGAATAAGAATGTGGATGTGGATTTTGTTCTTTTTTCCTTGTGGAATTCACAATGTCGTATTAGTTTGTAAATATTTAATGGGCAAAATCAAAAAACGGATACACTGACAGTCTCCGCTCATGATTACAAGAAAAATCATTCCAAATGTCCTCCAAATGAAACGAATATCCAAGTTTTCTCAATTTCACCTATTGTCTACCAATTTTACGCTGGTGCAGGAAGAGTCAGTTCTGCCTTGGTGCCTATTGAGAACCAGCTCACCTTCAACAGATTTCAGAAGTGAACATTATGTACCTTCATATATCTGAAGTTGGGGTAATTTTTCTAGGAAGGAAAATATTGGAGACAGAATTTGTGGGCTTCATTCGCTGATGAAATTCCTGTAGTCTCTCTCATATCAGCGGTTCCAAATTTGGGACGAGCACTTTAGTAGTGCTGTGTCCATTTTGTGCTTCCCTTTTGGAACCAGCACCAGCGATCTGGGCACAAGAATCACACTGATGTAAAAAAGAAATAATGTAATTGCGGAAATCCCCATACTCCCTAGCAGCTTGCTGCTGTCTTATTTTTAGTGGTGCATTTTCTGTTACTGTTCTTCAATCCCGGTCCCATGTGTAATCCTCTGTAACTTAAATCAAAACCAATCTGATGGGAATTAATATATTGGACAGGACCACATCCTTTCATTTCTCTACCCATTCCGAGTTTTGACAGTAGGACCCTTTATAAATACACTAACCTGTTTGAGAATCTGCGCTGCCATGTGGTGGCTGCAGTCAAAGATGATCCGGAACTCCCGACTTCTCTTCATTTCTTTGAGAAGAGGCCTTGTATCCTGCGTGTCGAGAGGAAGCTGGCGGATCTTTAGTCGGATGTTATACCTAGACGGGGCCATTATCAGCTCCTGTAGTCTTATAAGACCTTATCAGACAAGAAACAGTACAAAAATGATCATATAACATATACCCCAAGTAACTGAAGTAACATGTTATAATATACCAGTCTGTTTACCTGTGCTATCATCATATACAACTGTAGCTGTTTTCCATTTGAGAAACTGCACCAGGTCCAGGATAGCATAGCTTAAAGATGAGTAATCTGGGTATAAATTGGCATAAAAGGTGTCTCTGTTGTCCATAGGGTGATGTTTCCACCGCACTTGGATATGCGGCACTTCCAGTGCATTGCAGATGGACTGCACGGCATTCGATGATGAACTATGTGAGGGTCCAAATATTGCAACTACGCCTAAAGACAGCTGGTCACAAGCTGAAGAGGAGAAAGGGACAAGAGCTTGAGAAGAACCTCACTTATGTCCTGTCACAGCAGAATTCGGGAATTCTCAAATCAAAAACACAGATTAATATGAAGTTAATGACAGTGTGACAAACCAGATTCCTGCCTTCATCCACACTGCGGTCACAATCCTTGAATAAATGTGAGACAAGTTACTCACCTTTTCTTGATGCCTCAAAGCTGTCATAGATATTAATCCTCTGTATGTCATAAGTTAATGTTGTGTTTGGTAACAAAGTCCTGTTTCTGTTTATGTTATTGACTGCAAATTTAAAGGCAAGTTCCTCCGCACTGACGAGCGAAACAGGTCCGTCTGTTTGTTCGAAAATTCCACCTGAAAAACAAAAAGGAGAGACGGGTAAGGACCACAACAACTGGTCTGAAATCTAATCAAACAACAGCAGGAAGACAGACACAAATTAAGGTAGGACTAAATGGAGAAAATATTAGGACCCATACTGATGGGAGAAGTGCACATTACGTGAGATATAAAATTTTGTTCCGCAAACATGGAGCAACTCTCTCCATTTTTAGGAAATGCTCAAAAAACCCAATATCTGTTTGAAGTCCAAAGCCATAATGGATTTAAGGTGTGTGTGTGTGTGTTTGGCTGTTCCATCAGGGCAGCAGAATATCTCAGGCTCTTGTCTTTCCATTAAGATATCCTTTTATTTCGCCCGAATACCACATTGTTGGTGCAGATAACTGGACTTGGGCACTCTTCTTTTACATAAAATTCAAAGGAAAGCATTTTCCCCATTTTCAGATGGCCAGGACCACTGCTCTAAAGTTGCAAACATGTCTGTATGAACATCAAAGTCCAGTATTGCTTTAGATGGTGGTGTATCAGACAGGTAATCCTGCACTACATCCACAACTGTATATTATGTATTTTTTGTTTATTTTGGAATACCTTTTTTTCTTGATACGATCGATAGTATCAGGATGGATTTTTGGTGTCAAAACATTTTAAAAAAGAAAAGAAAATGTAATCATTCAATTAAAAATGAATACCAGTCCCCTGAAAACTGGTTGTAAATGTAGAAAGAGCTTCTGCCTTTAGTAACATGCATTATCAACCAATGGGTTTTATTCTGTATTCTGTTAAGTGGCAGAAGTAAAGATAAATGTTTCTTTAATGTTCACATTTGAAAGTAAAGGAGTAGAAAAGTGGGAGTTGTTCAGAAGTTAATTAAGTTTTGCATTCATCACCTGCACAAATCACAGTTTGCTACTTAAAATTATACACCCAATGTAAATTTACACTCATGCCTTGTAAACTGTGCAATGTTTTTCCCAGCAAAAAAGTGGATCTGGAGATATGGGCAATTAAGGTATTCTAAGATCTTTGATGCTGGCAGAGGGGGAACGATATCCTAGCTTTGAAGGAGAGCAGGCTATGGCAGCCTAGATGTACATGATAGACTGAAGCTGAAATCCCTCTTTCATCCACCTTTTCACTACTCCTCGTATAATACACAATTACAAAATAACAAAAAAGCTGGTGCTGGAGTCTTTCTGTTGTAAACTCATTTTATTAAATTAATATTTGTGTTTTGCGTTCCATTAACTGGGATTCATATAAACATTAATTCAACCCCCCTCCAAGCTAATGCATGCCATATCTAATGTTAAATAGTTTAAGCGTTTCGATTTATATGTAATTGGTACAGTAACAAACATAAACTGTCAAATGTAAGACAGCAAAGTCCCTTCGTGTCTCGGCTACAGCCTTAAAGAAGACAGTTTAGACAGCTTCTTCAAAGATGCCTGCAGGAACATCAGCTTATGGAGACAATGGCTCCTCCACCTCCACTCTCATCATATTATCCATTTCAGTAACAAAGCGAAAAGTTTCTGCCATCTTCCGTCAATTCTGGAACAAAAAAAATGCTCACCACCATCAAAAGTTACAAATGTCAGTGCTTAAGTTTAACTTTATGCCCATCATTTCAGATATACAGACAACCTTTCAAAACCAGGTCTTTTTTTTGCTTTTTTTAAACACCGGGATCACACACGTCTAAACACCAATAGAGGATGCCTTTAAAGTATTTTCTGCTGCATATTAATAGTGTGTATGAGTCAAGGCTCAGGCTCATATTGATATCAGTTAATAATCACTCCCAGTCTATGTTAACGCTACAATTCAATCAGGAAATGATAGGAGGAATAACAAATTGCTTTGTGTTAGTGTGATGCCGCAGAGCATTTGAAAGTGCCTAATTATTTTCCTCCTGTTCTTTTATTGTACTTTTATACATCTCTATTTCATGCTTGTATTAAAATAATACACCTTAGTGGATTTCTTTAAGCTGCTGGATTTGTCCATGCTAATGTCAAACCCCTTAAGATATCCAGTTAATAAGGGACTATTAACCAGTGTTGAAGATACGAAGTCTGACAATAGTAAACAGATTTTGTGAATAATCAAGTGTCAGTTAAATTTCAGTTTACAGACTCAAAAACACAATGATTAGCATTCAGTATGAGGGCTGAACAGTGAAATACTTTTACCAATAAATGCGTTATTCAATTCACATACATTACAACATTCACAACATAACATTAATATTAATATTTATTTACAGTGCAATGAACAAATAAATACAACAAAGTTTAAAATTGGCCACCTAGGGCTGTCATGATCTCCGATTTGCACTTAAAATTCATATCATAATTATAGCTTTTTTAACATTTTAATTTATTTATTTTTTTCAAATTCTTACTGACTGAGTCCCCCATGCTACCAGTCAAAAGTCTGGAAACACCTTCTTATTTAATGTTTTTTATTTAAAATAAAAAAATAAAAGACACATTTAGAGTTATTTATCAATTTTTTCTTTGCTACATAATTTCATATATCTCGCATCATATATTTGATTTCTTCAGTGCATATCTATAATATAGAAAGTAGTAAAAACAGAGAAAAAAACATTAAATAAGAAGAAGATTTTGACTGGTAGTGCTAATATATATCAGACTGCAGGGACTCAGTCCATCCATAAAATGTAGACACAGTAGCACAGATTAATGAAGCAGCTAGCATATGCTCAGAACACTTGGAATGGAGAGAGCAGGAGACGCAGCAAGAGCAAATAAAAAGAAAATCAGTAATCAAATTAAGAATTAAGTCGTTAACAGTTGCCCATCTCGGGTGCTTCACTCAGCAATGTAACAACAGCCTGACTGCAGCAGAGCAAATGTAGTGGTCCAGTTTAGCGTATTGGCTTTGTTACTGGAACTAATTTTGTTCCAATGTGTAGGAAAAAAATGAATGTTGTTAATAACTTGCATAGACAGGCTGATGGTGCAGAAGAGTAGTTACTGAAAAAAGAGCTGTGATAAACTGCAAACTGAGTCTGCAACTGTAACCATAATGACACTGAATGATTTACGATGTTATCATATGCTTTTTTTCCAGTACCAATTATTTCTTTGAAAATCAATTATTCATAGCAATTTTTCATTTTGTATTTTCCAGTTGTCGCCCATACCGGTATATTGCAACATCCCTGATTTCAGCCAGTGGGCCAAGAATACAAAGCGATACATTTCATTTTACCTCATATTTTTTTCTGCAGCATGTGTTTGAGATTTTGGATTCCCTTCGTCTATCACACAAATGCTGCCTGCCAGCTTGTTTTTACAAGGTATTTTACTAATCCTAGAGAATACCTGGCTGCAGAGAGCTTAGCTTAGAAATGGTACCTGTGACCCACTGATGCCCCTGAAAAGATCCCCAGGGCATGGATCACACAATCATATAGTTCTGTTACAGTGGCTAGAGTGGCAATTCTGAAAGCCAAGCTCATCTTACTATTTATGAGTCAAAGTTTCAGTGAGTTGCAAGGGGATGTGATGCATAAACCTACCCGGTAGAATGCGTCACATTAAAATAAATGAATCCTTCCATTTCATGGGGAAATCTCATTAGAGTACATTAAGTAATTGCTGGAGTATATAGTAATTTGACTGTTAAGAAGATAAAATGTGCATTGCTCAGAAGCACTCTAACAAATTTAATAAACAGGGGAAAACCTGCTCCTTGGAAGGAAAATCCAGAAGATAATTTGTTTTGCCCGTTTTCAGAAATCTACCATAAGCACAATAACAAGGTTTAATGCACAAGACCTCCCACAACTCCATCAGATAAGGGACAAGCAGTTCTTTTTAGCATCATACAGAATTTACTCTAATGATGCAGGCATCCGAATATTAGGGACATGTTTGCAAGTTCCCATTTTAACAACTACACTGAATGTTCGTTATTGCAGTGGGCGTGTGCAAATTGAGATGCATGAATTTCAGACTTGTTCTTGTGATTCTCAGTCAAAAGGCTTCAAATTAGCATGTCTCCAATAGACAAGAACACAAAAGCCTTTAATTAGTCTCTAAGGTCCTATCACAATATATAAATCAGCCACTAATTGCAGCCGTTTCCATAATTTGTCCTTTGAGGACTTTGGGGATCAGCTGCACTGAAAAGCCACAAGATTATGTATTTGTAGCAAGTGATTCAAACTTAAATTGCAAAATGCACATGGCACTAGACCACCCAAACTTAGTGGTGTATTGACAGCAAAAACAAGCATAACTAGCAGTGGTGCTGAAAAAGAAAAAATAAAGTAAGTTTAGGGATTGACAGTGTTTCATCTGTGGCGCTAGAGATGGGAACTGAGAACCGGTTCTTGTACTTGTCTGGTAGTCCAATTTCTTGCCTGCCTATTGATCCCACTTATCGGTTCTTGCACTTGCGCTACAATAAGCTGATTTCATTTTGCATGTCAGTGCATAAATAGTTACGCAGTCTAGAGCGTGGATATGGACATTTATTTTTATTGCACAAAAGGACCAGGTAAATAGTAAAGTGGTAAACTGCATCCAGGACATAAACAACCGCACCAAACTGGTAACACAACTTCGGTTCTTTGCTACTACCTGCCAAGACAGCATGCTAATGCTAAGCTAGCCAAGAACCCAGAGTGAAAGCTAAGTGAATGCCTACCCCAGCAGCCAGACCCTGAACTTCAACAGCTAACAAGCAGATGAGCAGTCAGTTTTCATCTGTCTGGTTTTCATCTTTGCTTTGTGCGGTCAGCTTTGTATTCTACTAAGAGCAAGATCTTGGAGATGCGTGTCCTCATTAGGGATTTGTGTTGATGTGTGGGGTTGTAGCCTCGGGTTTATATTAGGAAATGGTCATTATGAGATAATGTGTTTCAGCTATTTAACAGGGCAACATGAAAGTCATGTAACGAGTAGTATAACAAATTACTTTTTCCCGGGAGTAACGTACTGCATTACTTTTAAGAAAAGTGTTCTGTGTATTAT